CGAAAAGTTCTCTCCGGGGCAGGAGAGTCCTGCCCGACCGTGCCGGGGGTGCTGGTCCGTCTTGCCGTGCTCCGCCCCTCGGGTTCCCGCCAGGTCGCCTGAGGGGCGCCCGGCCCAGTCCACACCGGCGGCCTCCGGGGAGTTCCGTGGGCGCTCGGAGGAAGAACCTGTCCCTGTGGTGCCGAGCGGGGATCGATGTGCGGTTTTCTCTGTGCTTCGTTCAGCCATCAGAGCAGTTGCTAAAGCAGGTGTGCTAGCCAGCGAATGACCAGTTCGGTCATTCATCACAAGACTTCTTGTATACAAAGGCAAAGTGAGGAGAAATCCTGGGTCATAGCTGTCAGCTGTGGTCTTATTAGCATGTGGATGCATTTTCTGACCTAATCACTGGGGTGATCTCCTGGAAAGATGTTAAAATGCAACTGCTTTCCAAAATGAGGTCTTTTACTGCTCTGACGGATGTATCTGGATTACAGAAGCTTTATGTTGTATTGGGCTGTGAACCTCACTAGGTTTATGTCCTAAGGTAGTGGGGATATGCCAAAGCATATTATGCTTCTGTTTCATGCCCTTCTTTGACCCCACGTACAGGTCAGTTCAGTTTATTTAGCCCTTTCCAAATATCAACAGTCCTTTTCCTAGACAAGGAAAGTGGCTCAAATGTTCTGTCTTGGGAACAGCTGGATAAGGATATGTGTGAAACATAAGTTATGGTTTAGGGTAGGTATTTTTAAAGAGGAAAAATGTCTTTGAGCCTATTCATACTACAATGATGAAAGGACAGATTTATGGTTCTGAGGCCATTTTGCAAAATATCACATGCTGGGGCTGAATTTAATACATTGAAGCCAGGCCTGAATATTGGCATGGAGCATGCTGGTGACAAATTATTGGATATGGAATGCTTTTCATTCTTCTGCCTGTTCATTCCAATCAGTCCTGACTAACAGGGTTTTTACAGAGCATGGGAAATGCCACTAGGTAAAGCCTCCATTTCAATTGCTATGCCTAACTCATCTAATTCCTGAGTTTGCTGTCAGATTTTTGAGATGTTAAAAGATACTTTCAAGATACCTGTGTGTAGGATGCTTTCACTAAGAGTCTGGAAAATAGTTTGTGTTTTCTTGGGTTTTGGCACTAAGTTTGACTGTGGGAATCACACGTTCTTACAGAGCACACAACTGAAGTTCCCTTTCTTGACAACTATAGGACATTTTAAATATGTGTCAAGTGAAAAGCAGTAGTCAAGGAACCAGAGCCGTTGAATGAATTGCCTATACGTTTCTTTTGGCATGAAATGTGCGAAATGTTTATTTCTTCAAAGCAATAGGTAATAAAAATGCTTCTAAAAGTTAATTAGATAAATGTGTAGTGTATATATATAATACACCTGAGTACTACTCATGGATTAGATAAAATTACACCACTTGGCTTATTTCCTTAGAGAACTCAGTTATGTTTTTTGTACCCGGGTGGACTAATTAAGCATAGCAGTAGGAAGCATGGGGTGCAAAACACGGGTGACTATTGAGCCTAGTGTTTCAGTACGTTGTAGAGAAACTCTGAAATCTAGAAAATGCTAAACTGGTATATGCTAATTTGCCCTGCAGTACTACGGTATTTTCAGGTGGCTAATCAAAATAAGGTTGAATCAGAAAACCATCAAACTTTGTGATACAATCAAAATATCAGAGATTATCTACAAATAGAAATACAAGGAGCATCCTTTATTGCATTTAGCAAAGAGTTGGAGTATCCCACATTTCTTCCTAATCCTTTTTGTGTGCTGTTATGGCTGTTTGTTTTTCTGCAAGCATTAGTCCGATGAATTTTATGAGCGTAAACGAGATTTTTAAATGCCCTGGAACACACAAAGTGTTTCATCTTGGACTGGTGATTATAAGCATAGATTGGGTTTTACAGTTTGAAATTAAATTGCTCTGGAGTCATTTGCTCTCAGTGACAAGAAAAATCAGCAATAAAAGCATCTAGTGGAGTTTTTGTGCAACGGAAGTAGCCTTATTTGTTGTAGCATCCTTGGTACCCATGACCAAGGTTGATGGAGTGACACTCCTACTAGCTTTAATGAATTGCATGTAATTGTGTTGTGGTCTGCATCAGAATGCCAAGGGGATGTGGATTCCTTTGAGGTGTGCTTTCAGGAAGCCCCAGAACATCTTGCATGGCAGCAGCTTCCTGCATGCTCTCTCTGTTTCTGGGCATATGGTGTTTATTGGTGCTTTTAGACATCCATCCTGCAGCATGCTTTTTTTCTTATCTGTCTTTTCAGATAGTTACTTAGGCCTTCTACAAATGTCTATCTTGAGAATAGCATAGGGAAGCATCTGCTCTCCTCAGCATCAGCTTTATCCGAGATACCTTATGGTGGTTATATAACATAATATTTTTCATGTTGTTACTTGCATAGTAGAATAACTGCAGGACTCTGCCCGATTCAGGTTAAATTCAGGTTAAACAACACTTGAGAGAGATGTGCTAGGAATTTACCATTTTTACATGACTGCCATTTTTCTCGCATGCTTGAGCTTAGGTATTATTTTTCCTCATTTCAGGACTGCCTCTGAATCGCAGTCCAGAAAGAAGAACCAATCGTGTTGATTTAAGTTGAACATTTGTCTCTAAGGTTAACAGCAAAGCCATGCCAGTGCTTTCAGAAGACTCAGGTAACTAATCTGCATGCTTTCAACAGACCAGTGACTGAAATTTTAGTGTATGTGTTTCACACAGGAAATTAATTCCAACTGGAGTTAAATAACATAGAATTCAACTAGATTTCTTAGCAATTAGCTAAAAGAGAACAAGAAAAGTGGAGCATAAAAGGTAGAAATTAATAGTCAGATTTCAGGAAACGCCCAGTTTCATAAGAACCCTAGAGCCCCTGAATATATGCTGGTAGACAGGCCCTGTGCACTGTGAAGTTGGGATATTGATGGTTTAAGCACTTTTTAGAAAATTAGCCACAAGTTTTGCTTCCACTGCAGTGGAAATCTACACCGGTCCTTTCCTCCTGTGGTCCAACCTGACTTCTAACAGGTGCCTCAGGAGTAGAAAGGGCAGGGTAACACTTATAAGTGAAGTTGCTCAGGAACTACACCTGGTAGCTGTGCAGCAAAGGAGGTGGTTCAGTCATTTTGCGAGTCTGTTGTGGCACTCTAATAATTCAAAAGTTTGTTAGAGGGCGAGCTGTTCTGGAAACAAAGAGTAATTAACATGAAGGGGGAAACTTCAAAAGAAGTGTCTTTTAAATTATTTATTGCTTTGGTAGCTTTTGCCTTAGTATGATATATGTTATATCTTAAGCTGTGTTTGCCACTTAAGAAGGGAGTGTTATAAAATGCATGGAAGATAAGCACAAATTTCTCTGCGAACTTAATGATCACCAAGATGGTACCCAAGTAAATGTATTTGATGTTAAGTCTGCAGTAGAAGGTCCCATGAGACATGCTATCTACAAAGCTTTTGTTCTGTCTTGGATTTAAATTTAGGATTGCATGAAACTTTGGCCCTTTTGACATCTCAGCTGAGGCCTGATTCAAATCATAAAGAAGAAATGGGATTCCTTAGGGATGTCTTCAGTGAAAAAAGTCTCAGCTACCTGATGAAGGTAAAAGTTCATTTATGAACATACATTTTCCTTACAGGTTACTTATTCTCTGTTCCCTTTATCAACTGGTTGCTCTGCCAAAGTTGGGGTTTTTTTTGGTAGAATCCTATACTGACCAAAGCATGTATGTATTTAAGCACAAACATTAAGAATATTTGTTGACAATTAACATATTTTGTTCAGAAAAGCCATTTCTGCCTTGATTGCCAAAATGCAGATACAGTGCCCTGTAGCTAAAAATCAGTGTGAGATGGCTTCATTTTTTTCCCTTATGCTGCTGAAGTCTCAACAGATTTTCTGGCTGTTTGTGAAACTAGCATGAGCAAAAAGAAAACAAAAAGACTCAAAACCAAAAATAACTCCAAGAGAGGTTACTTTTCTGACACTTATCTCAGAAAAATTATATTCCTTAAATATAAAAATATTCCAGTCTAGATATATTTAGGAAGTTTTGTATCTCTTTGTAGTAATATACCTGAATAATCTTTTTCAGATTCATGAAAAACTCCGTCATTATGAAAGACAGAGTCCAACTCCTGTTTTACATAGTGCAGCAGGATTAGTTGAAGATGTGAGTAAAAATTCTTGTCTCCTTATTTTCCTATTATTTAAGCCTGCTTTTCTAACAAATCAAAGCTTTGCAATTGTGCTATATGTATACATATTTCTCATCTTCCCCAACTGTCTTTGGAATCCGTTGGCTAGTTTCAGTCATTATTGATCAAGGAAGTGAGAGCTCAAAAATGTCATGCCCCTAAATGTCCAGTGAATACAGACACAGGCAGGTAGAACAGAAGGATGTTATTAATGGCCTTCATAAGGGAGAGGCTGCAAAAAGCTTTCAGTCCTCTTGAAAACAGAATATCCCAGCTAAGCATTCAGTCTTAAGGACTTAAATCCATTACAACCCAAGCAGCATTGCTGTTCGCATTAGAATGGTGTGAGTTGGAAGGAATCTTAAAGATCACCTAGGCAGGGACACCTTTCACTAGATCAGATTGTTACTACAGGCTTTGGTAAAGAGCTTTTCTCCATCTTTCTTTTAAGCCCCCTTTATATATTGAAAGGCAGCAATAAGGTCTCCCTGGAGCTTTCTCACCTCCAGGCTGAACAACCCCAACTCTCTCAGCCTTTTGTCATAGGAGAGGTGTTCCAGCCCTTGGATCATTTTCGTGGTCCTCCTCTGGACGTGCTCTAACAGGTCCATGTCTGTCTTGAACTGGGGACCCTGGAACTGGACGCAGTACTTTAGGTGGGGTCTCAGGTGAATGGAGTAGAGGGGGAGAGTCATGTCCCTCGACCTACTGGTCACACTTCTCTTTATGCAGTCTGGGATATGTTTGGCTTTCTGGGCTGCAAGCGCACGTTGCCATCGTGTATCTGATTTTTCATCCACAGGTATCCCCAAGTCCTTCCCCGCAAGGCTGCTCTCCCGGTCTGTTCACAGAGCAAAGTTGTATCTTAGATTTGTTTGTAATGTGCCACATGCCTGAAAAAGTGAAATTTATACTGCCTTTGACAGCTCTTTACAAGTGGTTTGCGCCTGTTTCCTTCCAAAGCGTAACAAAGGGCTGTGGAAGGTTTGGGAGCTAGAATTCGTCCCTTTGCGAAGCTAGGAGATCCCGCTGCCCCATCTTAACCCGCAGCATATCCCTTCTCCCCTTTCCCACAAATAGCCTACTGCCTCCATAAAAGTTTTGGTGCTGCTGCCTGTCAAGTCATACAAAATTACCATCCGCTAAACAGCAGAGAAGCTGTTTTATGCAGGACTGTAGAATTTGCCTAAGAACCCTTTACAGGGAAAGGAAATCTGTCTTGTCTCAACACCTTTTGCCTTCCTCCTCTTCCCCACTCCTCCTCTTCTCTCTCCTCCCACTCAACCAGCCTAGTGCAAAAGTGCTTCCATTATTTCTCTAATCTTTTGTTTGGAAGGCCTGAGACTTCCAGGGCATATTTTAGTATCCAGGTTTGCAGGGGAACAAGGGGACTTCTGTTGCATGTTCCACACAGGTAATGCTACCTGGTTACAGAGAGGATTAAACTCCTTTATCATAGTACAAGCACAAGGGTATTGTTTCACATATCACTTACAGATTCCGTATAGAACTTAAAATTTCAGAACTTGTTCCTGAAATTATATTGGCGGAATCACTCTTGCAATGTATGTTTAGGGGCTAGGATCCTGATTTCTGATTATATCTTCCTGCACTATCTAATAAAAATAAAATAGATAAAGAAACTGTCATTTCTTTTAGGATTCGTGCACTATTGATTGGGATTGTTTTTGATCTGTGCACACTACTTTGAAGGATGATAGAAGTTAGCAAACACTCACCAGAAACACTCACTTGGAAATATATCATAGAATCATGGAATAGTTTGGCTTGGAAGGGACCTATAAAGGTCATCTAGTCCAACCCCCCTGCAATGAGCAGGGACATCTTCAATTAGATCAGGTTGCTCAGAGCCCCATCCAACCTGCCTTGAATGTGTCATGTGATGTTATTTGGTGGACTCCTTTTATTTTGAGGTTGTTAATTTTTATTTTAAAGGTAATAGAAGAATTGCAGACCGCACCAGTGAATAGTGAAGAAAAAGAGCTACTTCAGCTGTTGTCAACACCACATCTCAGGGTAAAAAACACACCAGAGATCTTAACGAAATTCCTTTGCAGAATTCCAGTAGAACATTTTGTAATGGAAAAGTTACATTAGAGAGTCCCTAAGAGAAAGGAAAAACCTCCTACAAACTGTAGTTCTATTCTACTGTGATTTGCTGCACAGGCTTTAGGATGCGAAGGGGATTAAGAAGACACGGCATAGGCCTTACAGGCATAATGCACCATGTTGTCTTCCCTCCCCTCCTTAATGTTTTCTCAGGGAGCAGAAAAGAAAAGGATACTATTTCTCAACTTTTTGCTTTCCATAGTCCCCCTCCATTCTGTAAGTTTATTTAGGCTGAGCTTTGTTATTGCCTAGGTTTACTTTAAATATTGGCATATACCAATATATAGTTTACATGATGGGTAAGATGATTGCTAAATCTTTTTGGGGGATTTACGGTGAGGGTGGGAAGGGGGAGGTTGAAGTTTGCTGTAGTGCTGGAAACATGAGAACTGTAAACTGTAATATTACCCCATTACATTACTGTTTCTTATTTCCTTTATGCAGGCCATGCTTGTAGTACATGACACTGTAGCACAGAAGAACTTTGACCCAGTCCTTCCACCTCTACCTGATAACTTTGATGATGATTTTGATGAGGAATCGGTGAAAATTGTTCGGCTAGTGAAAAATAAAGAACCTTTGGTATGTATAAGATAACCTATCTCTACTCGTAAAACTCTGTTGTGCAAAAGCAATATTGTGAGTATGGAGGAGATCCTCGAAGAAGTTGTCAGACAGTCTGGAAAAGCAAGGAGTGTTCTGAAGCTAACATTTTTATGAAATAACATAAAAAGAAAACTTTGGTAAATACACCTTTGCAATTTTGTGATGAGATGCTTTATAGGCATTGGTTTATAATGCCAGTTAGCACAGGGAACACGATCTCCAAGGAAACTGTATATGTCGGAGTAATTATGCTTATTATACATACTAATTCTTTTCATATTGTGGCTAACATTCAATGAATTAATACCTTTATTTGCGTGAAAGTCAGTGATGTATGGTAAGAGTATGTTTGATAGCTGTATTGACAAGGTACTGATTTTATACAAATGGAAAAATTGATTTCCTAAGAACAAACAATTGCATCAGGGAAGAAATCTGCTAAAGTGCTTTTTGTATATGACAGTAGGTAGTAGAAGAGAGCAGTGACTTAATTCCTGATTAAAGCTTTATATTGCCAGCAGAGGTAGGGGAAGGGAAAAAAAATCTTAATTACTTGGCTTTCCTTGCTTTTATATGCAGAAGTGCTGGCTGTATTGTATAAAGAATCAGAAGACACATAGAGAAAGCTTCTTGTAAGAAATTCTGTTTTGCACGCTTGAGTGATTTTGTTCACCACAATAACGTGGGTAGTGTAAGCACTCAGCAAAGTCGGCGGAAAGGAAGGTGTGCACACCTTCCCGCAATCGTGTGACATGGGCACAGGCAAAAGTTGAATAATGGTGAAAATTGTCAAGGAGGAAGACAAAATTTATAGAACAAATTAATTCCAGTTTAAAAGACACATTAGCTTACATGTTATTTCATTGCTCACTGTATTCTAAACAAATTTCTTATGATGGTTTCTTGGGTGGGGGTACATTTTATTTCAGGGAGCTACCATCAGAAGAGATGAGCATACAGGAGCTGTGATTGTAGCAAGGATCATGAGAGGTGGTGCAGCTGATCGCAGTGGTAAGTTTCTGAAGAAAAGGGGATTTAAAATTGCGTTTGTAAACTGCTTTGAAATTTCCAAACTTATGCATGCACACACGTACTGTATACGCATACCTAGAGTGATAATCTCTAACTAAATCTGGTGGTTATTCATTCCAAAACCAGTCCTTTGGACACGGGGGGTTTAATATATGTATAGACTATTTTGTAAAAAAAAATAAAATAAAAAATTAAAAAAGATAACAGCCTATCGAAATCTTAATAGGCAACTCTTAGATGTCAAGTCTGAACTAGTATGTAGGCTCTCTGTGTAGTCAGTGGAGGGAGATGGATGTTGCTGGAGAACAAATCATCCAAATGAGCTTTAGAATGGGATAGGTCACTGCTGGAGTTGTGTTTCTTCCTTACTGACTATAAAGGGAGCCTACACGGTAAGCTCATTTGACAACGGAATTTCAGGTGTCTAGTGTCAGGAGAGACTTCCATGCTGGCATTCAGCGTGCTTTCAGGATCTACAGGGTCAATTCATGCAGTATTTGACCTTCCATTTTCTAGAAGGTGAACTTCCAGATGTTATTAAATAAGCTGAATTGGCCTTATAGACTCCAAGCCTCATACACTTTTTTTAATATACAAGTAATGCAATCGCAAAATTAATGAATTGCTGTGATGAAGTAACATTCGCTAATGACAGCTTTCTTCTTGATCATTATCATTCTTCAAATTAGTGTAACCTGATAAGTGTAATGTGAAATGACTAGAGCATGCGCTTATCATTTCTTTATTTCATCAGTAATCTATTAATTTAATTAGATGTTTTTCTCTAAAGTAGCCGCTAGGAAAAAATGTCAACAGAGATGGCAGAAGTAGGCCTAAGCTTTAGAGGAAAGAAAAGAAAATAAAGGGTTTTACCTTTAATCTGGTATCTTGGTTTATTCAGTGTATCATGTGTTGTTTTCTGTTTGCTTTACTGAGAAATTCTTTTATGTCAGTTAATGGTGGTTATATGATATAAGTATGATATTTCTTACTGAACTGGATAAACAAACCTAAAACTTGTAAGGGCCTGTTCATGGCTTGTTAAAAAAATTAGTCTAACATTCTTTCTGGGGCTATGTAGTGTCAATCTGTCATTTGATGGCCATGTCATTTTCATTCCTGCCTTTATAGTCAGCAGTCTGTCTCCTGGCTCTAGAAGATTTGAGCATCCTCATGAAACTATTCCAGTTTTGCATTCTTATTGCTGATCCAAATATAGAGGCAGTGATTTTCTGGAGTATCTTGCTACATGTTCTCTATCTCCATGCTGGTCTCTTATGAGACTGCTGCATGAAAAAAAATGCCGTATGAAATAAGGGTGGGAGACTTCAGAGCACGTTGGCAACGGAGGTGCTTGGCTGTAGTGACAAATCCGTTAAGCTGGGCGAGGGAGGAGAGGAGGGATGCGCTATTGACTTAGGTCAGTCATCAGAGGAGTGTTTCTTTCCAGTCTGTAGACTTACTTTCATTTACTTACCATCTTTTCAGGTCTTGTCCATGTTGGAGATGAACTAAGAGAAGTCAATGGTATTACTGTGCTTCACAAACGACCTGAAGAAATAAGTCAGATTTTGGTCTGCACTGATTTTCATTTCAAGATCTTTTCTGTTGAGTGATCTAGTAATTACAATAGATGATGAAATTTAACCATGTTTGAAATATATAGAGAGCTACAAGATGCAATCCCTGCTTGTCTTTGCATTAAGAGTTTTTCTTCTCCCAGTGGATTAATGTCCTTTTGACTTCAGAAACTTCTACAAACTGAATCAGTACCAAGTAATATACAAATAGAAAGTTACATGTTGCTCTGTCAAGGACTTCCCTTTGGTGCTTTGTTTATGACAAGCAAATTGTAAATTAAAAGTGTGTACCTAAGAGATAAGCAGTTTATTCATAATACAGTATGTTAGGAAGCTGAAGAGAGTCTCGACTGTGTGTCCAATAGAGCTGTCAGTCTGTTCTTTATCAGCAGATTTCTTGCAACATTAGCAAATTCTTGCTTCAAGCTTCTCTAACATTAATGCCCACAAATCTTGGTAACTCTAAACCTCCACACCTGTGGTTAGCCTGCTGTGTTGCAGAAAGTGTCATAGCTCTTAACGCTTATTTGTCTCTGACCCCCTTGTGGCTTGATTCCCCCTGTCTTGGTGTGGAGTGGAGTTAGGGACACAGTAAGAAGAATGGCAACACTGGGAGACTGAAGTATCTGACATCGGTTCCATCACCTAATTTAAATTTAGATCAAAGTAATGCTGAATAAGGAGAATGACTGTTTTTAACTTGTGAGGAGGGAGGAAGGGGGAAGGATCAAAATTGGATTTTGAAATACGCTGTAAAGTTTTATTTGCGGGGGCCCTGGGATGCTATGTCATCTGTTACATGCCTGCCGTGTAATAGTTTCCTTTTCACGGTTTATTTTTTGAGAAAGAGCTACAAATGTCCAAGCTGATTGGGTTTCCTTTTTAATCTGTGCAGAATAGCAGGCTTCTCTAGGACATAGTTCATCTCATCTAAAATAAGGCATCTAAAATAGATCAGATAAACCTATTCCAGATTTCCAAAGCACCTAGAAGTGTGTTTTAATTTACTATAGCTAGTAATTGAAATTTACTAGAAAAAGATTTTTAGAGTGAAAGTAGATGTTTACTTTGATGTTTACATCTCACCTTAATGGTTAGCCACGATGTGGGAAAATACAGCAATATTTTTCACAGGACCACTTTAAAATGGTTAGTCTGCAAAAACTTAAGTTAGTGTCGTACAAAAAGCCACAGAAGTATTTAATGCCCTGGGAACTGTAATCCAGAAATTAATGCAGTTGCTAAAAGCAAACGAAGGAATTTTAATGCAGGTCTTAGTATGTTCTAGCCAAGTAGTTACTGTGGATGTCTCCATGGGCAAGACAATGTTTTTGAGGATTCATGGAACGTCATGATAGTCTTTGCAATGAAGTTAAATAGTGGATTACCTTGGCCTATTAAAGTTCTGAGAAGAAGAAACAGGCGCTAGCTCCTAAACCGAAAGTTGAATAGTCTGCATTGTGTCTTTGTCCTGCTTTCAAAGTAAAAACATTTCTCTCTTTCTCAGGCTCAGTCTCAGGGATCAATAACGCTAAAAATAATTCCAGCCATCAAAGAAGAAGATCGTCTAAAAGACAGCAAGGTACGCAACTTAGTGGAATACTGAAGCACGCATTTTCATATTTACACAATGCTGGCATCTCTGTTAATGCAAGACTCCTGCTGCGTCAGTGAGGAGTGCCACAGACCCATAATTGAACTAAAAAGATAATAGAGCAGTTTCTTGTTGTAAAATGCAGTGCCCTTTTATTCAGTAGAATTACTTAGATGACTTCTGTCTTCTTCATCTTGGCACATGTTCTTTCATAGAATTTCTGAAATCTAGCCTCTTCTTTTTGTTCATGTAATTAAAATTGGTGTTCGTGCCAGTCTCCTCCTACCATTACAGCTGCTGTCTGTCCATTATCTCTGGGCATTTTGCCACTCACTTGAGTCAAAACAGACCTATTTGCAAACAGAGCTGCATTCATCATTTGACTCCATTAGCCCACTGCAAACATCACCACACCTCTCTGAGTGCTTCATTTGCCCTCCTTGATCAGCAATGACTTACTGTTCGACTGCTCCCTTACAGGATTCCTCTGTCAACCTCTATTTCTGCTTCCCTGCTCTCAGTTGCCGACTTTTTCCTTGAAGCCCCGCAAATCACTTTTAAAACTAGTTCTACTGTGATGTGTTAAATAGTGGTAAGATACAAATCCAAAGTTGAATAGTAGATTTTGATGCATTAAAGGAACATTTTAAGGACACTGTGAACTGTGTTTCTTGGGACTTTGATCTTTGAGTCTCATGTTCCACAATGCCACTACATAATGACGGGGTATGTGCTTGAAAGTTAGTTTATTTTTCTGCATAAGTCAGTCAAAATACAGATGCAGCTGGATAGGTTTCAGTATTTTTGAGTACCATAAAGCATAAAGGAGAGATGAAGTGTATATGTAGTTAGCAGTGTAAGCATTGGGGAAGCCTTTTAAAAGTAGCTTGAAATTCCAAATAGCACAAGAAGAAAGGATGTGTTACTTTCTTTTAAAGGTGTTTATGAGGGCACTTTTCTGCTATAATCCCAAAGAAGACAGAGCCATTCCCTGCCAGGAGGCTGGGCTGCCATTTAAGAGACGGCATGTCCTGGAAGTTGTAAGCCAAGATGATCCCACATGGTGGCAAGCAAAGCGTGTTGGAGATACCAACCTCAGAGCAGGCTTGATCCCCTCGAAACAGTTCCAAGAAAGGTTTGTCAATTATGATTACAGAATTTTTTTCACACAAATAGTGTCACACTGATTTTATTCTGCTTTTTTTTTCACAGGAAAGGAAGGGCATGATAGTGCCACTAGAAGCTTAGAGGAAAGTGCTAAACTTCTCCAATTATATGATAAACTTCCTAGCTTTCCTTGACTTGTTTGCTTATGGTTTGTAGCATGAGGACAGAAGCACATAGTAAACAAACATGGATGAAACAAAATGTGGAGTATCAGTCTTTTGACCCTCTGGTCTTACGGAGACACTGTATTTCACAGACTTGTACTTCCATAGTATAAGAGGAAATGCTGATTTACTGTAACAGTTTTGAATTTATGCACGTAGTAGTAGTAAAAAAAAAAAGTGTATCTGATCTTTCTCACTCCTGAGAGAGTATTTAGCTTGGACCCGGATATCTTCTAGAGCTTGAAGTTTCTCTGTTTTTACAGCAAGATATGTGTATCTTCTAAAGCAAAAATATCCCTCAAGTCTTGTTTTTACAGTACAGAAGTCTTAAATTTAAGAAGGAATCTGATTTAGGCCACTGGTCTCATGTGATTCTTACTCCAAATTACTAGATGTGTTTTGTTTGGATTGGGAGTGTTAGAAAGGTGGGGTTTCTAAGAATTAAAAGGGTCTGATTCTATTGCTGGCCCAATTTTGCATAAGGTTTCTAACAGAAGACTTCTTTGCCTTTGAAATACTAGGCAAATTCTGCCTGAACAGCTGTATCCATCTTCCTGTGCATGCATATGCGTCAACAGATGCTGCTGCACTGTAGTCCTTTTTTTCCCTTTTTTGTTCCAGATATTGTAAACTACATTTCAATGTATGCAAGAATGTAGAAATTGCTTCAGTGTCTGTTTCACCTGAGTGACCGTGTAAATGCCTAAGCATCATCCTTAGTCTGTTATGAATGTTGGTCTGTTGCAAAAAAACCACTTAGGAAGAAAATGTGGTTTCCTTTGCCAATAGTGAGGGGTTTCTTGGGGTTGGATATTTGTGATGATTGTTGGGGGTTTTTTGGGAGGGGTTTTATTGAGCAAATTCAAGACTAGGTGATTAGGAGTTGAGCTCTGGTTCATGACTTTAACACTTCAGAGAATTTTACTTGATACTCTGTTCTTACATTTTCAAAGAAGCTGGGTGACTTGGTTTGTTTACTAGTAAATAACAGAAAACTCCAAACTGATAAGGAAGGCAATAGATAATTTCCGAGTATGCATAGCTGCAGTGATCATTTTGGACAAAGGTTATCTGGTTTTGGGTTCTGTTTGAGGTTAGTAGTTTTAGGACTGTGGCAGACAGGAATTTTGCCTGTCCTTTGTAGAAATGGCAAATAGAAGTTGGATTCTCAGCAAGAATAAAATAGAATAGTTGTTAATCTTTTTTTTTTTTTTTGAAAGATTGGTTGGGGAAAAAGAATTAGAAAAAAATTACATTGATAAAAGTAACATGCTGTTGATTTCTGTGCTGTAATGTATGAAAGCCTAAAATGTTTTAGAATCTTCTCAGTCACTTTTCAGTACCAATCTGGGACTGTCAGAGTTTTAAAGAAAAAGTCTTTTTAAAATGTTGAATCAGACACATTTTATATTTTTCAAGGAAAAGCGCTATTTCATTCTTTATTTTCAATGCTATGTGTAAACATGCTGTAAATTCTTTATAATTCTGAGCTTACATGGCTAAAATATAATTATTTTCTATTTAGACGATTGACTTACAGAAGAACGATAGGCACGCTGCAGAATCCCAGAACTGTGAAGAAACCATTGTGTAAGTCTGTTCTGTTCCTTCAGTGATGTTTTAGTTGATACCAATTTCTCAGTATTTTTCTGTTATTTCAATAATGATGTCTTTGAATATGTTTTGTGTAATCTGTCATTGGCTGATTTGCATGGATACAAGCTGCCACATCGGAGGATTTGGGTTTGAGCTTTATCTAGTGTTCCTAGTGCCTGTTGTTTTCAAAACACATGGCTGTCCCTCCCTTCCTGCTCTCAAGAACATGAGGCCCTACACATTGTTAAGATGCTTTAAAATTTGCTAGTGTTCACATTTTTTCTATGGTTTGAAACTTGAAAGCTGCAAAAGTAACCCAATGCACACTTCTTGAAATTCTTACATAAGTGCATGAAATGACTCGAAGCTCATATGAAAATTAACTGTAGCTTTAAGGAGGATAAAAATCACTGGAGCTGGCAATACCATCTGTATTTCAGGCTTAGCATTGCAGAGCTGGTTTTGAGTAGACTTTAAAGTGATTCTTATTTACAGCTCTGAAGCCTCTGTCAGTGAATTATTCACACAGAAACTGCTGCGTGTGATGAAATTGCTAGTCAGTGATGAAAGGCAGAAGCCATTCTGTATTATCCTGGAATATAATGTTCCTGTTGCTCATGGATACTTCAGCACAGCTATTACAGATGTGGGGGGCAGCCCTGTGACTGTGGGAAGCCAGACATTGTGCTAGCAGTGCCACCCTCATGTAGACTGGGAATCTGAAAATTGTCCAGTGATACAAGTGAACTTCGGACCAATGGTGCATGGCACATATCGTTACGTATTATAATACTAAATTTTAGCAAAAAAGTCTTTAATCAGTTGATAAGGGTACATTACTACGTTATTTTTTTTTTAAGATAGAAAAGCCTGTTTAAGCAAATCAGACCAGAAGTTGTTTCCTTTCCATTCCCTCTAATTATACTCAATCATTTGCCAGTCTTTTAATACACCAACTCTGCCTTTCATGCTAACTACAGATGATCAGTCTTCTGATAAAGGTAGGTACTCTAACTCATTTTCTCTCTGAATATAAACAGCCAATGCATTTTCTAAAATACTTGCTACGCCCCAAAGCAAAGGGAATAGTAGATATAGCTTGTTCCTACAGCAGTTTCTTCCTGAAATTACTTATTTCAGGAAATTATTTCTTACTTTATTATTTAAATTAATTTAATTTGGATTGATGACTGAGGTAATGGTAACTTCCAAATTTACTCCCGATTCAAGAGAAAAGATTTGTGTCTTCTGATAGGCATTTATGTGTTCTGTAGGTTTCTGAGTGGGGTTGATAGAGTTGCAAGTTAAATGCAGTCATTGTATCTGGTATTTTTTAAAAAATAAATAAATATTGGGGTTTAACAATTTAGAGCACCTGTATCAATCCAAATTAATTTTTCTTCGCTGTTCATTTGGACTCTTTTCTGTGTTATTTTCATTATGAGCAACTGTGTTGGGCTCATGCAGTTTATATGTCACTGTACCACACACCTTTCCAAATATCAGGTATTTTCTGTTGAATTTTGCATGCTGTGATTTTTTTTTTTTTTTCACATTATACATGCTTCTTAAGAATAATATTGAAAGTATTGGTATTACATCAACTTTTGTGAAAGTACTAATCATATTCTGTAATTAGTTGGCCATGACTGGCATATCCTATCAAAGCACAAGTGTAAAACTAGAGGCTACCTTCAACAACAGAAAGTAGCTCTAATCTTAGCTATGGATAGGTGTATATTGCTACTAGTATCTTCTGTCAATATAGACATAATATTTTATGAGTATAAATTCGCATTGCTTGATTACATACCTGCACTCAACCACTCATTAAAAAAACAAAGTTCTTTCTCTTGATTGTCACATTTTTTTTAGAGGTTTAAGCTGCATTTATCTTTTGCCTGTGGTTGAGCTTGTCACAGAACCATACACCTCCTTCTTAAAATGAGTAGAATTTTGTGGATATTGCAGGGCACAGGTGCCCAACTATTAACAAGCCATGTAGCCCTCTTTCAGAAAGTATAAGTACTCGGTATTTATCTTATGTGTTTTTATCATATTTATCAGTATGGTGTTTTGCAGCTAAGTGTGGTGGGTTTATTTTGCATACTTTTAGGGGCCTTGGAGGTGGTCATAGTTTGAGGAGGGTTAGGTTGGCTTTTTTTAACATGGATTTGCATATTATTTTACATACATGCACATTACAAAAGCAGCAAATCTTTACCTTTTTAATAAAGAATTAATAAGCAATGATAATATAACAGTCAAAATGAAGGTGTTTAGAGCTCATATGTCAGTTGTCTCTGATTCCCTTTTGTCAAGACCAAATGATATTGAAATGTCAGAAGAGGCTATATTCTTACACACTTAGACTTATTTATAAAGTAATACATTAAAAAAAAGAGCTGTGTGTTTGTGGAGTCTTCTTTTTCACTTAGGTCTGAATATTACTCTTTTAGCAGCGGGACTGATCAAATGTACTGAATGCTACAGAGCATAAATTCTGGGAACCATAAATAGCAAGATGTAAAATTCTCTTGTGTAATATTGACATCAAGGATTTTTTAAAATATATATACCACTAGCCAAGGCAAATAATTTTTTGTATCATTAATGTTTGTGTTAGAAAAGCGTGTGCATATAATGCAGGATATAAAACTTCTCCTTCCCTCACCAATGAGCCAGATTTGTACCACAGGCACTGTTTAAGATATCTCCCTCTTCCCCTCTCACTCTCCTCTCCCCTGTGCCCTTACCCTCCCGCTCCCTGCTTTTTAATTTACAGAAGACTGTGACTGTGAAGGATATTTCAACGGACAGTACATAGGTGAGAAACAAAAATCCCTTTCCTCTTCTGTACCACCCATCCTGGGGGAAAAAACCAAACCAAAACAAACAAAAAAACCCACCCTCACCTTAAAAAAAGAAAAACTACCTTATTTACATTAGAGTCAATTTCCCATACATTCATAAACTGGATTATCTCTGTGCAGAGGCATAATTAGACTTTGGCATGGCCAACACTTGGAAATTCAAGATGATATGAGGGGGTTTTTATTATAGATTGGGTGTTTGGCTTTCTACCTGATATGCAAATTTTTCATCTATAAGATTAGCATATGTGCACTGATTTGATTATAAAAATTTTTGTGAGAGTAATTTGTATTCAAAGACCGAGTAACTTCTAGCTGAACAAGCTTGAAAATTTAGATAACTGGAGATACGATTTAATATACTTTTTGTTTTCCTGTACAGCTGGCTTACGCAGGAGCTTTAGATTAAGTCGTAAAGAGAAGGAGAACAGTCTGAATGAAGGAAAGCAAGCAGAGCAGGCAGACACAGCAGAGTTCCTAACATACGAAGAAGTCACAAAATATCAGCAGCAGCCTGGTGAACAGCAGAGGCTGGTGGTTTTGATTGGTAAGATACACAATTGGTTCAAAATTTTTCACCTATCTCCCTCTTCTTTATGTTGTGGTTTAACCCGGCAGGCAGCTAGAACAACACACAACCGTTCACTCACTCCCCCCGCCCCCAGCACAGTCCTGTATCATATTACTTGTGTGAAATTTGTATTATTTATTCTCTTTGCAGTATTTCATTCCACACAGAAATCTGTCAGTCAGTTCTATTTTATTAGGTTGTTTGGGGGCCAGATTAAGTGAGCTCAAGCAGAAGGTTGTGTCAGAGAACCCACAGGAGTATGGTGTTGCAGTTCCACGTGAGTAAAACTTACTGACTTTTGTGTGTCGCCACTTTATTCCATAAATGCTGTCTAATAGCATAGTGCTAGCTGCATTGATGAATGGTAATTTGTGTTTTGAATATTGATTATATGCATATTTCAGAAGTATTTCAAATTATTTTTCTCATTGTAATATACGGTGTTTGCCCTTAATAGCTGAATAGATCACTACATAACATGGTACATATGCACTTTGGAATTCTGTCAACTCAGTTGATTTTTTTTGAATTGCATTTTCTCAGTCCATTAAAAAAATGAGAAACTGAATACAGGAATTATAAATAAGATTGTAAATTGCAAAAAGAACTAGTGTGAAAAACTAGTATCTTAAGATTCAGCCAAAACATTATATGTGCTTGAAAGAGGATGATTTTTCTTCAGAATATCACACCAGCCAAAGTTTATTTTTTAAAAAAAAGTATACAGCAATAAACCAAGTCAAAATTTTTATAAGATTTTAAATTGTTGATTAGTATATCTAGGCTGTTCAAACAAGCCAGTCACAGTGATAATTAGTGATTCTGCTGCATGGGTTTGTGGCTAGAGTTACACTGAAATTTTTTTTTGTTGGATTATTTTCTAAAACAATAAAATAATTCAGACACAAAAATCGATCAATATTTGTGTTCCTCAACAAGCTACTTTTGCAAGCAAAAAAATTAACCTTGAAGGCACTGTTTATATGTTTTTTAAGACTTTTGATAAACATCTGTCAGGCAGACATTCAATTAGTTAGCAGTAGAACTCATATGGGTAATTTTTACTTGAATCTAAACATGTACATAAAAAAGAAAAAAAAGCAGACATCACTTTTACGGCCAGGCATAGATTTGTAGAATGATCACCAAAGCTTCTCCTACAGTAATAACAATTATTAAAAGAAATTATGGCATTAAAGGTAAGGGACACACCTGATTATCTAAGTTTTACAGTAGCGTGGGAAAACAGCCAGGGATAATTACTCTAAATAAATACTCTAAATTCAGAGGCAACATAATAGGACTTTATATATTTTCTATTTTTTTTTTTCTAACTTTCAAAGAAAATGAGTCCAGTATTCTAAACAGTTAAGAGATACTGTTTTCCATAGGATATACTCTGCTGCTCCTACCATGTGTAAGAAGTATGGCTCCTAATTTTTCTGTTAGTTATAGCACGCTTGGGAGCAAAACAACTTCATTTTTGGTCTTATAATTTTTGAGATTGAGTTTAAAACAAAATTATAATGTTTGATTTATATTTTATATTAATTGGAATTTGCCAGTGTGTAACTACCTTGTTTGAGGTCATGAAAATGTGACTGGAAGTAAACAGAGAAAATACAGTTGTTTGCAAAGGCTGATCTGTCTTCCATGTCTTGCTTCCATTCTTTTCTAGATACAACCAGGTCAAAGAAAAGTCATGAAAAAGAAGGAGTAGAATACAATTTTGTCTCCAAGCAATCATTTGAGACAGATGTGCAGCAAAACAAGTGAGTTGATTTCAAAATACTGGCATAATTGACTGTATTTCCAAAATATTGCTAGTTAAATCTTACATCATATGAATACTAAAATCAGGTGTAAAGTTGGACTAGGTGTATTAGAAGGGTTCAGCTTTCCAAGTAAAAAGCTGTTTATTCAGTCTGGACTGTTAGCATGACCTCAGAAATTTAGTAAGAAGCAATTTCGTAACAACATAGGACTAGCGGGAGGATCGTAAGTTAGAATTTAAGCCTGCATATTATAAGTAGTATGATTGGCCAGAATTTAATCTAGTGAACATAACATATATTTAGTTGGGCCTACTTATTCTCCATTTAACATGATGGGTAACAAGTTTTCTTCATAAATCCACTTTAAAATGTGTTGTGGTCTGAATCCATGGATATAAAGGACTTTCAGGAAACACACTCCATCTTATGTGAAGTACAGATTTTTGGCTAGTCTTCCAGAAGATGGAAGAATTGGATTCTATTTCTGTGCCAGCTTTGTTCTATTTTCTGTGAAAAACATCCTCTTTCTTCCATTAGGCTTGAACATCAGTCAACTGAATTAATGCAGCTTCTTCCCTTATTTGTCAGTAGTGCCGATTCGCTGTTAGTGACCTGTGAAGGAGACTATTGCTACTAAGCAGACAGAAGGGAAAAAATAATCAGAAAAAGAAAAAAAAAATTGATTGCTGTGACTTCAGGAAACAGTTATCAAATGTTTTGAGTTAAATATTCTTTGTGGATAGTATCTAAAAATTTATTGATTTTTTTAGATTTGTGGAACATGGAGAATACAAAGAAAATCTGTATGGCACAAGTCTTGAGGCAATCCGGTCTGTGATGGCCAAAAAGAAGGTTTGTTTGGTGGATGTGGTACCTGAAGTAAGTTCTGCAGCTTTTTTTCAAAGAAAACTATTATTTCTTACTAGGCTGCCAGCCCAATTAACTGATGGTGTTCACCATTTGTGGCTACTTGCTCTGCAAAGAACAATGATGCTCTCAGAACTTGTGTTTCCAACAGGCGGCCTGACTGCTAGCTGAGTGGAATAGGGCCCTTCAGGAAGCAGTGCAGTGTTTACAGTTCCTAGCTGGCTAGTTCATACAGCCTAGGGGACACTTTATCCGTTCTCACTGTGGGATTTTTTCCCTTCCTGTAGGAGAAATGTGCATCACTGTCCTAGCCTGCTCAACAGGCTGGAGACAACACGTAGAGCACGGCTGGGTTTCTCATTCTTGTTCCTTCCTATTGCCTCTGAAGCGTTAATAGCGTTGTAACCAGTGCCAGTATACCTGCTCTTAATCCCTCCATACTGGAAGTTAGAAATTTTGATTCAGATTTTGTAATTGGGCTAGGAAAAGACTTGTAGTACTATTCCAGATGAATTCCGGGTTTAAAATTTCCTGTGTTTGGCCTCTTAAGCGAAGCAAACCATAACTTGCCTGTCAAGTCAATTTTTTTTATATTTTTCTCGATATCTTTGGCCATGTCCTTCTTCCTCATATTGCAATGCGTAGCAAGGCATGTGTGCAGTTAGACCATGCTCCAGGAAGCTCATGTACTCTTGCAAGCTAGCCAGGACACCGACATTGACCTTTTTTTGAAAAGCAAAATGTTACTGTGGTCAGATGTATAGTACACAGGACTTCGCACCACAGTGTGTCCTAGTGAAATTAGTAACTTGAACCCAGCTTGAAAAGATTATTGACGTATAACAAAAAATTTTAAAATGGTGTAACAAAAAAACATCTGTTCACAGGCAGTGAAGCACTTGAGGACTCCTGAATTTAAGCCTTATGTTATCTTTGTGAAGCCTCTCATTCCAGAAAAGAAAAAACATGCCCTAAAATCTCCCATGTCAGAAGAAATCTCAGCCCCCCTTGTAAGTATTCTAACCTTAATCTCTTCTTTTTAGACATGAAAGAAGTGTTTGGGCTAGCATTCCTGTGATATGGAAGAACTCCTCTTCCATGACAGCGGGAGTCAGAGTGGGGCACTAAGCAGGTCCTGTGCACATACAACTTCAGAATGAGATTTTTGACTCCCTTAAAACTTGACCATACATGAAGCAAACTGCACGTCTTCTATGTGGATGTGTGTGCGTCACTCAAGGCTGCAGCAATAGAAGCTGCAACTGAACTCAGATAAACTAATAATAATTTTACATTTCTGTTGAGCAGCCCCATCTAATGGCAAGGGTAGCCACCTATTTCTGATACCTCTAGAGTGAGAACCACCCAGGCTGTTACTCAGGTACACATAAAATGCAGCATGTGGGTGTCTTACAAGGTGAAAACCTAGACCCAACTGCAAATTGGTGATGTGTAAATGTGAACAGAAATACTGAGTGTGCATAATGTCTTTACTTTGGGTAACGTGAACTTGATTTTACATGTAACAGAACTTAGCTCACTTGGTGAGTTTTCATGTAAGCCCTCAAAATTATTGAACTTGGGGACAGTGAGTCCAGCATTCCTTTTCACTTTTGAGGAGTGTGATTTCCAGGTGTTAGGTTAGGCAGTGACTCTGACTTCATAAAATGCAGTGTCACCCTCTTACATCCCTCCTGTAACATGTTTTTTCCCCCTACCTGTCACCTCTTGCATTCTTGAAACAGCCTACCAAATTCCAGCAGTAGCGTACTGCTCTTTGATCTCAGTTGTAATATCTTATATCCCCTTTCCTAATGGTAGCAGCTCGTTTCATTTCCTTTCAAAGTAATGACTCCTTGTGCTAATATACTTTAAAATGCTAGTAATTAAAAAGACGTGCTGTAAATTTTATGCCGCCTTCTCATGTTGATCAGCAGGATGAAGAACAGCAGGAAATTATTAATTCAGCAGCATTCATTGAAGAGCAGTACGGCCACTTAATTGACACTGTACTGGTGAAAGAAGATCTCCAGAGTGCATGTAATCAGCTGAAAACTGTGTTAGAGAAACTAAACAAGGATTCATTTTGGGTGCCAGTCAACTGGGTTAGGTCATAGCTTGTTATCATCTGTTGAAGGGAAAGATTGTATAAAAATGTCTTGTAAATATATGGATTAGAAAAGGGAAATATGTCAAATTCACTTCAAAATTGGTGGTTGATCTAGAAGGTAATACATAAAGACTGTGTTTAGTTTTTCTCATACAGTCAGAAGCTGACAGTGCCTTCCTGAATCAAAATCTTGAATAGCAGCTGTCATTTAAAAGTGAAAACTCAGACTAAACCGATAAGTAAAAGATTGGAGTGACTTTTAGACTGTAAATAGTGCATTTTGTACAGTAAAGTTTCACAGAGGGTCCCACACTTTCAAAGCATTTAAGTAGTGCAAGGACACTAACCAGCTGGATTTTTTCATCCCTTGGCCATAAATGTTGTGGCTAGAGTTGAGGCACCTGAACAAGGGACACTTCAGGAACCAGTCTGCCTACAGAAAGCTTCAGCTGGGTGGGAGGGATGTCCTTGGGAGAGTGCTTACACTGTGTCAGCTACTCAGACGTTCAGCTGGCTGACAAGCTGGCAAAACATATTTCCCTTCACTCAGAATCATTAGTTGCAAATCCTTTCCAATTAGGCCAGGTGTATAAGTTGTATATATTTTAGCATTTGAGAGATGTGGGAGGGTTTTATGTCCATCCCACCTTTCCCAGTGCTTCCAAGTTGTCTTGCACAGGTATGAGTCTGTTCATCCATAGCTTATGCCTGCTTTCCTAATCTCTTCCTACTGACACAGGACAAATGTTAAAACCACCTGTGAACACACCTGTGTGACTAGCCAGCTCATAAACCAGAGATGTTTTTTAGTCTACACAAAAATAACTGCATATGATTTAAAATAGGACTTTTAAAAAGCTTATTTTCTACAAGACATCTTTGCAAATGCCCCATGATGGGATACCACCTTGACACCAACACAGCAGCTCCAAAAAGGGCGCTAAAAGGAGGATGCTGAAGTACCACGTAGCTGAGCTACAGGTCCAAATCAGCCTTCCAGCACTTAGTACTACCTTTGTTCCAAATCAGGTAAAGGCTTCCAGAGCATCTAATTGGCTACGTCAAGTCCTGAAGAAGAAATCTTAATTGTTGGAGGACTTTGTATATTTTTAGATGGGTGTTAATAAGAAAAGGCAGAGAAATTATGCTGGAAGCGTCTATGCTTTCTAATTATTTGAAAAAACTTTGAGTATTGTACAGGGTGCATGTTAGCTGAAACTAGTTCCTGTTTTCCACTGCCTGCTGAGGTCTGATCTTTCCTGTGTACTACACCATTTAACAAGAAAGACCTTTTGGTGTACCAGTCTCATTCCTTGCATCTTAACAGTATGATGTTATTCTTGTTCCACTGCATTTAGCAAAACTAACAACACTGTATATTAAAAGCACATTTCTTATATACCAGTGTCACTGAATCTGTATTATTTCTGGCCCAAAAAGTCACATCCACCTTCTCTGAACATGTACGCTGGCACCTTTCATGTATTGTACTGCCTATAGGTATTGAGGTTCCTGTTCCTGCAAGAGTAAGTGCTTTTCACAGTCCGATATCTACTCGGGCTTGTCAGAGCAGATACGCTGCCTGACTGGTGCCCTCAGCAAACTCCTTCACCTGGGGGTGGCCCATCAGCTCTGCCACTAACTCTGCAATCTTGTCCCAGCACAGCCACAAAAAAGTAATGTGGCTTATAAGAGACATACATTGCCAAGTGAATTTTGTGATAGTTTTAAAAATATTATACTCAGGTTTTCCTAAGATGAAAGTACACCTATTTAAGTAATAGTATTTCAAACTAAGTCATTTTATGAAAACAGGAAATGAGCAGATAAATCTCACCATAGATCTATATTGCAGATTACAACAGGTTTTTATAGTCTGCAAAATGTAAACATGTTTAGAGGATAGAGACCTAAAGAAAAATAGGTAAGATGCTATCTAAGAGTCAGAATTCACTTACTTAGATAGCAACCTTGCTTTAACATCTTGGAATATTCCAAATGACTAGCAGTAAATTAATTTGTATGCTTTATGACATAACATAGTCTAATAATAGAAATATGTGTTAAGAGAAGCAAGGCAAATGACATAGAGGTACACCTGAAGTTACAGTAACTGAAAAGATGTTAAGATACAATATTGTTATTAAAAGTGAACTGAAATATTCAGTATGAGTTAAAAAAAAATCTTTCTTCTAAGTGTATGCAGATACTCTATTGATGTACAGTCACATACTAACTTGGGATACTGTCAGAAATGTTTTTCATTTTTTTAGGTTCAAAGTAAAGGATGGTGAGGGGCTATGTATAACATGCAAAGGAAGAGGATGTTACTTTTAGAGGGCTCCTAGCTGTTTAATTATTTGTAAAAAATACATAATTCTTAAAAAAAATGAGGCCTTCTAAGGAAGGCAGATAGCAATTGCAGTACAGACCAGTGAAGCAGTTTTGCCCACATTCAACAGGACAGCAACAGACCACACAGTCTTCTCTCCAGTCTCTTCCTTAACGCCAGTAACGTAGGAAAGAAGGGACTACCTTGGTGACAGACTCCTTGCACAAGAGTCATACCCATCACCAGAAAACACACCTACCCAAACAGCAGAGACCACCAGGACCATTGTACAGCCTGCTGATCAGAAGTCATTCATCTCTCTCTCCTTACGATTGTCTCCTTTCTAGCCTCCCCACCTGGTTTTATGCCTTTGTTACAGTTGCCATGGCCTCCCATCTTCAGAACTTGACTTCCTAGTCTTATTTTCTGTCTGGAATCTCCAGGTATAACTACAATCTCAGATTGTGACATGGTAACATTTTTCTGGTAGATGCTCAGTAGTTTAACAATCCACACCCTCTGTGATCTGCTTACAGTGCACCTATCCAGCTGCTGTCAGTCACACCAACAGAAACTACTTTCTTTTCTACTCTCTCATAAACTGAACAAGTATAGTCTAAAGGAACATCTTCTAGACCAAAACCAAGATGGACATGTATGAAGTAGTCCAGCTGGCTGAAAGCAGGTGTGTTCCCAGTGCTAAAGACATTAAAAACTCCTATAAGATCTGCCATCTCCCTCAGACCGATTCCAGCAGAGGGAAATACACAGGAGTGATATTCCAACTACACAGCCACTTACATCCATTGCAAGGCAGACAGAAGGTGATGCTAAAAAAACCCCCAGTATTTCTATTCACTTTAGCAACAATTACCCAGACTTTTCACAGAAGAAAACAGCTCCACAAAGAGCAACTTTGCAGAGAACAAGCTGGAATAGTTCCAAAGTGAGGTTGAAGTTTATAGGCCTTGTCTTCAGCTGTGTTGTGGCAGCACTCATGACAAATCACTGGTGGTACTCAGGAAGGCACTCCCACTAATTAACTTGATAGCAATGAATCATCAAAACATGCGTCTTAAAAAGGGCAATTTTTCTGTTCTGACTTGACAATGTCCTGCAATCACCGTCTTTAGATTTGTCACTTGTTTACCAGCACTTCAGTTTACAATTTAAAGGCTTTTAATATTGTCCCAGATTTCATGCTTTTGCAGGTAGCCAACCAAAAGTCTTCTAGAGGCATCGCTACCAAGATCAGAGTGCAGGCTAACATCTTGCATGACTGTTTTCAAGAAGAGGCAGCAAGTTTAACAGGGGGTAAGGGGAGGGAGGCAGGTAGAAAGAGGTAGGTAGCTGACAAAACTTCATAATGGGATTGGCAATAGAGAGACTCATCCTAGTGAAAAGTCTTCCATAACCAGCACATTTTATAATAAACTTAGTTTTAGCCCTGCAATTGCTGAATGAGGGCAGGAACATGGGTTTGCACAGAGCCCCGTCAACTGCAAAAAGGACCCACAGTGTAAACCAGCACAAAATGATGCTCGATTTCACCACTCATCCTCAGCACAAAGTATTTAAGAGCAGCACGGGGTAACCTGTACAGGAAGTGGATTTTTTCCTGCCAAGTATTAGTAGATATGCCTCTTCACTACAACCCTAAAATTTAGTAGTAACTTGAGTTACTATCTGGGGACATGTGGCAATTTCAATTGCTTAAAACCACCTGAAATAGGGAAACCTTGTCACTGCTCAAGGTGACTCCTGTTAACCACATTTAAGGGAACTGGGGTGCCTAAGAGACTCCCACCCCATTCTGGGGAAGAGAAGCTTTTCAATAACATTACAAAATGGAGTACTACCTTGTTTTATGCTAAGGCATGAATTTCAGAAAAAGTGCATGTTGAATGTCATACAGCAAAAGCACAATACTCTAAGAAGCACTATGATTTAATAGTAAAAAAATCTGACAGTTACCAGAAAAAAATCTGGTTATATCAGTTGTGCATAAGGGAAGGAGAAATTGTATTTTGTCTATGAACAAAAATGTATTTTGCTAAACAGTTTGGGGTTTGGACCTACACAACTGGTGGCAGGTCAAACAAGGCACAGACTAGTGCTTGGAATCTGCTCCCTTCCCCCCCCCCCCCTTTTTTTTTTTTTTTGTTTTAAAAAAGAAGTCCACTCCATTCAGACAGAACAGCCACCTGTAGATTTAAGAAAGTGGACAGTATGCACCACATAAGCTTTTATCCTGCTGTGCTGAAGATTCCCTTAGCTGGACTCCCCGCTTGTCTGTGCTTTTATCCCAAAGACCTGGTGTCTGCAGGATCTTTATGATCAGTTCCTCAAAGGCATGTTGCACTCCATCCTGTGTCTTGGCACTGGTCTCTGGTGGAGAGGGAAGAAGGGGAAGGGAAGAGTATTTTATCTTATTTGCAGGGAGTATTCCACTTTGTAAGAAGTTCTTTTAGGACCAGAAAGAAGATACAGTATTTTAATGAGTGAATCTCTTCTCCATTCTCACTTAAAGGTACACTTAAGTTGAATTGAATATGATAAACAGAAATGCATCCCAGTCTGAAGCATCTCATTTTTCCATCTAAAAAAATTCCACAGCTCCTTATTCTCTCCATAATGGAGAAACAGAAATTGTTCTCAGGTTGTGATAGTAAATCTACAAGATAATTATTCCGTAACTAAGCTGGCAAACAAATAATACAGAGGGAATTACATGTTTTCCCCTATGTGTTTGTCCCGGTTCCTTCTGGAAATCTTTTCAAGAAGCTTCACCTAAAAGGTACTTTTTTTAAAAAAAGAACACACACACAATTTATTTCCCAACTTTATACCTTCACATTGTATATTTTATTGTTGGTCTAAGAATACTGTCTTTTATGTAGCTGCAACAGAAAGCTGGAAACAAAAAAAAGATTACCCAAGGTCCTTGCTGACCTCAATCAGGAGACAAATTCCAGTCTTCTGGGCTCTGAATTAAAAAAACCTGCTAGTTTCGAGAGAATATAAAGCTCATGCCTACCCAGCACATGAAGTAAATCTCTTTCAGATAAAAGTACTTCCTATTGCAGTCAATGCAGAGCATCTCTGAAAAAAAAACCTTAAAAACTACATCCATGCATATGACCTAACACAGGAAAAGGAACCCATATTAATTAGGTACTAAAAAAAAAAGTAAATCAACTTGTCAACCTGAAATACAATTGTACACCTCATTCACGCTTTGCAATACCAAAACAAACATATGAATATACAAGGTTTTGGCAGAGTTACGTACCTATAAAAAGCAGTGAGTGTTTCCTAGCAAACTGGAGTCCTTCTCTTCTCTCTACTTCACGATCAGGCTGCAGAGACGAATGAAGAACATGACTAAAATAAGCTACATTTGCCACTTTTAGGAAGTCCCTGGAAAAGCACTACTGCAAAGTGAAGTTTTGCTGAAAAGAAAAAAGTCTATAAAGCCACGTAGCAATCAGCAACTGGATTTTCCCACTCCACAGACAGCTTACTGCTAGGCAGGCTGTAAGGAGGACAAATTGAACAGTAGCAACGTCAAATCACTAGGAAATGAATGTGTTGCTATCTTCTGAATCAACTAGAAGCAAGATATATTCCAGAAAGGAGGTTTCAGGAGACAAACAGCTGAGAAAGCATATCAAAGGATCTGAAAATTGACAGATTTGGAAGGGGGCAGAAAAGAACCTAGTTCAGGATAGCCACACTGGAAACCTCTTGTAGTAAAGCAAGAGGGAAATATCTCGCTATGCAACAGGCATCTAAGATATGTTAAAATACCCCAGAAACGTACACCAACCAGTGCACCTCATACCCAGGCGCATGCTTTAAAGCTATCTGAAGAGCTGAATTCTCCTTCCCCACCGCCTGTCCAAATCAGAGTCTGGTCAAAAAGAAAGCAGCAGTTGTGCTGTTGCACTGCAGTTAACCTCAATGGTATAGAGCAGTTTTTAGGCAGAACCTCTCACTATCTGAAGAGAATCTCTCTCATCAATTGCATCTCTCCAGGAGATTTTCCATTAAAATCTTTAACAAGATCGGCTTCAAACAAGAGAGGGGATAAGTGGAGCCTGCCCAACCTAGGTTCCTCAGTTACACAGCATATCACCTCCTCACACAACAGATGTGTTAGTTTCAGCACTTAATCTCACATTTATACTCTATCACGACTGTGTAATCTGTGGAAGGGCGTAAGAGAATGTATTTCTAAACTGACCTTATCGGTTTTATTGCCCACTAACATCTTCACAGTGTTGCTTCTGGTGGTATGCATTTCCAGCTCATTCAGCCAGCTCTCTAGTCCTGCGAAAGTGTCTTTTCTTGTAACATCATACACTGGTAACAGAGGAAAAAGAGCTTAAGAGCTGTAATGTCTTGATCAACGTTTACTTCATTATGGCAGAACTTACTCCCCACTAACTACTGCCCCGAAAATAAAGCCGTATTAGGGAATTATGGAAAGATGCATCAACCATATCCTCTTCCCAGAGGTGGAGCACATTGGCCATGCTCACCCAGCATCGCTAGGGATTACAGAACACGAGGATCTCTGCAATAGATCTGTGACTGGAAATCAGACTTACCAGCTGAAATCTTATACCTGTTACTAGTTTTGAATTGGGCCACACAGAATATTTTTAAAAAGGTATTTTGTCACATCATTTAATGTGTAACTACATGTAAGCACTGCTGCTAAAACACAGATTCTGAGTAAAAAGTGACTTTTGGTCACAAGTAACTTCGTAACTATTCACTTAATTAAAAGGTTTAAAAAGCTGCATCACAGTCAGAATATTTTGTACAGCAAGGTGTTCAGCCTTCACAATCCCCGAGAACAGGAATCCCTCCTCCTTTTTTCTAATTGGTATTATCACGCAGAAGGGGACTAGCCATCCATTACTTGTGCTGCAAGCCTCATGTCTTACAGTAATCACATCAAGAGTTTGGGGGGGCGGGGGGAAACAAACCAAACACAAAACCCAATTTGCCTTATTAGCAGAAACTCACCAACGTAATTACTACAAAGCTAGTAATTCATCCACTCAACAGTTTGCAGTGCGACATCTCTGTATTTCTAATTTAAAATATTTTGAAGAAGCATAATTTCCTGCCATTGGTTTTGCATGCTCAGTGTTTGAGCTAACGATGCAGTAGTGTTGTAAAAACCTTAACTATTCCTCAGATTCTCTCAGACAACCTCCTTTTGTAAAGACATGCACATTTAGGTAGTAATAAAGACCACACTTTTTGCAATCATGCTTTTCTTCCATATACCTCCTACCTAAGACAACCCCTTGAGCTCCTCGATAATAACTGGGAGTCAGCGTTCTAAAGCGCTCCTGTCCTGCTGTGTCCTACAGAGGGGGGTGAAAAAAACAAACAAAAAACACACACAAAATCAAACATATTTAGAACAAAACAGGTATTTTAAACTACACAAGATAAACACAGTTAAATTCTTCCTGACCAGTAAGGATATGCGAAACCATAAGACAACAGAACAAGGGAAGCAGAAAACATTAGCAGCAGCAACAGAAAATGGATGAAGAGGGGTAGAAAAGCATGGAGAGGATTTGATTGAAGATTAAAGTGATAAGCACAGACATCTGTAACATGAGTGACACAAGAAGAAAGTCAACAGGACTCAAATACATAAAAGGCTATTGCTAAGACTCTAAGCAGATAAGGCGTTTAAAATCACCAGTTTCATTCAATTATTACTGCAGTAGGTCACACGTATTCTTACGAATCTTCAAAATAGCTCCTAATGCAACATGAAATTCAAAAACCCTCAGAACAAACAATAAGGAGGCAAAGAATTACACAAATATAATTTTTACAAAAACTATTTAAATGTATGTACAGATTACAATCAACAACTATGTTGTAAATTATTTTTCCTTTGTTGAAAAAGGAAACCAAAATTGGCAACATATTTACTTAATTCGGGTCATCGTTACTAAGGAGATTGTACTCATAGGCATGGATGCACACATGGACACCAAAGCAGAAGCCTCTTTTTCACCCTGATGCAGTGTACATGCATTAAAGTTTTTATTTATCATTGTATAACTGCACTGATTTGTGTGTGTGTCCCCCAGTTAGCAATTTCTTCTGATGCTGTTATGGACTGCTGCAAAAGCGCCTTTTCCAGTTACACAACTTGTGCAGGTTCTGGCATTGTTTTTCATTTCACAGCAAGGAGACACGCCCCTGTGTAATTATTACGGAAAACAATTCTTGGTTATTCTCAGCAAAGCTTCTGCTTTGCGTGCAGCATGTTCAGAATACAGCAAATACACATGCTCACTGGCTAGAGCAAGTGTGACTTTATCACTCGCAGAGCACAAAGTGTGAATGAAAACAAGAAAATAATTCAAGTTTGGGCATTTTTATCGCTTTTGTTAATATCTGCCCAAGGCGCATTTGTGCTCCCTTTCCAATAGTTCCAGTTGCTTAATTTGTAATGACGTGTTCTTTCTCAAATACCTATGACCATATACATAAAATCTCTTCCTTCTAGGGCTCTTTCATTCCATTTAGGGGAATAAATGTGATGCTTTAATATTATAAATAATCCTGATCACACAGTTGCAATCTGATTTCCCAGTTTGCAGGTGCTGGAAATACAGCATCAGGAAGTTCAGGACAAATGCTCAAGTCTCCCAGTAAACCTGAAACAACCTTTAAATAGTTCAGGACCAAGTATACTTTTTTTACCAATATTTTAACCAAAATAAAGCATCTGTAGTGTTTCTGGTATGGTGAACGCACAGAGCTGCAGAGTCCCTACAGGAAATCATGCAACCCGTCACCCATAACGTCACTTTTCTGCAGTTTACTTAAGTACTTCTGGGTCACACAGGCATGAAATGCCTGCCTTCCTTGCAAGTCTAACTCTTCACAGAGGCTTTCAGAAACCCAGCTGTGTAAGCACAAGACAAGGCAGTCAAAATCTCTACTAGAACTGAAGAAGTCCCAAACCTAGAGCGATGAAGCATTTGTCAGAGTTTTGAAAGAACCTTTGAAAGAAGTTGTCTGCAACTACCGCCGTACAGCCACAACAGACACTCATCCTACGTGCACTTACATCGTAAGCACACAAGCTCAACGTGCAGAAGACTTTAGCAAGGGGGAGGGAAAAAGGCAGAGGAAAAAGCCCCACAAGAAGCAGCTCTTAATGTTTTCACATCTGTGGAGAAAAAACAAAACCTACCCGCATCTGCCTGGAACAAAACCTACCCATATCGCAAGCTGTATCGCATGGCCGTCTATCACCACTTTCTTCACTTTAAAATCAACACCTGAGGAGAAGCAAAGGCTCGTCAGAAGGAGCTGCCGAGTGCCCGCCCTCACAGACAGCTCTTCCCCCCCTCACGCCCGCGCAGTCCCGGCGGGACCCCGAGGGAAACACGCGAAAACGCCCCGGGCGGCCCCCGGACTCACCGATGGTGGGTGTCAGGCACGGCTCGAACGCACCGTCAGTGAACCTCAGCAGGAGGCTGTGGGGAAAGAAACCGAAAGCTCAGTCCGGCGCCGAGAGAGCCCCGCTCGGGCGGCCCGCACGGCCCGCACCTGGACTTCCCCACGGCGCTGTCCCCGATCAGAACCAGCTTCAGGGTGACGCCCGCAGCGTCCATCCCCAGCA